CTGCATTTATTGAACGAATAAGCATTTATTGGATCAAATGTTAGTAGTATTGTGAAACATTATTGCAATTAAAAACGGTGTTCTATTCAAATATATTTAAAATGTTTCATTTATTCCTGTGATGGCAAAGCTGAATTTTCAGCATCATTACTCCAGTTTTCAGTGTCACATGGTTCTTCAGAAATCATAATATGCTGATTTTGTCCTTATTATTTCTTATAATTTTTTTGTGGGAACCATTCAGCATTGCCATCACAGGAAAATATGAAATTTTAAAATATATTAAAATACAAAATAATTATTTTAAATTTCATTATTTCACAATATTAGTTTTTTTTTTTTTTATAGAAAAAAAATGCAGCCTTTGTGAGGAGAAAGAGAAAGAGAAAAAAAATCGTATCGACCCGAACTTTTGACCGGTTGTGTTTGTTGTGTGTACATGAGAGACAGGATGCATGTTATGAAGCTTTTATGCCATGGAGACGAAGTCGAGGAGGAAGCCAGACAAATAAAGTAGTGAAGTGTTGAAAAATAAGAGGGAACTTGACAGATCAAAGAAGGGAGATCAACCAATCAGAAAAGTTCTCCAGATCTTCAGACATCCTTCCACCTAAAGAGAGTGAGACAGGTTCTGTCTGGGTTGGAGAGTAAGACAGTCCTATCGAATGCACTTCAGGCAGTATAATTCTAGGATGTGGTGCTCTTCTCCCAGAGAGGAATTCTTTGTCCTTCATGGTGAGATTTAGAACCAGAGGAGACACTAATGACTCACTGAGGTCTGTGGATGTTTGAAATAAAGCAGAAGAGTTTGAGTAAAGACAGAATCCTGCATTCAGGATCTCTTGACAAACATCTGAGCAGAGTTAACGTACATTTGGTTTTCGGCGAAGATTCACACATCGACACACAACACGGCTTGTCTCTGTCTCTATGGTGGTTGCGAATGCCCCAAAAGAGGCATGTGAGAGACATCCAGGACTGACAGACCTGATCCTGGATCAGCAGTGGGTGAATCTCGACGGATGAGTCGCATCAGAAGATCAATATACCACTTAATGCTGCACTGTTGCTGAATAACAATGGGCCGTGAGAAAGCTTTTTACTCACCACCTCCCAGCTGATACCAGCTACAGCACATAATTACTTTAGCGGACTGTTATGGGTGCTAGATGTCTGGAATGATGTTACGGTAAGGTTGCAAAGCGCTTTCGAAGATATCTCAGTCAGGTATTAAGAAGGTTTTTGCAAGCATGCTGCAATGTCTGTTGAAAAATAAAATCGTTTAAAATTGAAACAAGCTCAATATTAGTTAGCTAGGAACGTCTATATTCATCAACAGGATTCAGGTGAGTCAGGAGGTTGCTCTAGAGGGCTACTCCAAAACCATCACGGGGGTATAGATCAGGGGCTTGTAACCTCAGGCACAGCATTTACACATTGAAGGGGAAACTGACATAAATAAAGTGAGAAGAATATTATGTGATTGTAATTTCATTTAGTTTTCTATGTTGAAGTCATGAGCCCAAACGAACATCAACTGACGAATGAGAGTAAAACTGGCTTTGGATTTACAGGTACTTTGGGAACAGAGAATTTAAGAATGAGTTTCATACTTAGTTACGTTACATGCCCAATTCTAATCAAAGACATATAAACCATCTGCTAAAGAAAATATGTCATGACTCGCACATCTAACAGCCTTTACCAGGCAAAGTCAGTTTATCTGATGCTTCTGTTCTATACGCATCTCCACTAGAACTCCATATGGCAACACATATGTAGATTATTGCTCACGTAAATAATATAAGGTAATTAAAAATTCTTATGTGATTTATCCAAATTAAACATGTCAAAAAGTTTGTTGATCACAGATATACTAGAGAATTGACCATTTAATTTGTCATGAATGAAAATCAGCATGTGTTGGGAAGCAATCACTGCAAGTTCAATATACGGTTGTTGTCATATTGCATAATGGATGTTGATCATTCACCCAATGAGACATTGAAAACTCTTTTTGTTCAATCGGCTGAACGATCAACAATATGGCATATTGAACATACTATACTTCAGTCCCTAGCAGCCTCCGTTTCAAAGACACCAAATTAAATACGGCATTTACTTTGACTAAAGTCTATAGCTGAATCAAATTCGCCATCTCTAGAGATCTTTTAGCTCAGTTAATAACTTCGCTCTCAGTCAGTGTGGATTTGCACAATATGGTCTATATTGAGTCTATATATTATAAAATGTGTCAAAGTGACTGGTTATAATCCAGTGGTTGCCCATCACTAGTTGTCGTGACAAGACGGGAGGAGGAGCAGCAATGCGGATTACAGAGGTACAGTGTGTATGTGTGTGAGAGTTGTTTGGGTATCTATTAGGATTACAGAAGCAAGACGTGTGTGACTCTAGAGGATATAATTTTGTCAGAGTCAGAGTTCTGCTATGGGGTCACCCCTCCTTGGAGCCATCTGCTTCCTCCTGCCTGTTAGTCTCAGGGCAGTGAAGCTCAGAACTCAAACAGGCCCCGGGGGACAAACACACACACATAAATACACTGAAAATAACTAGACGCTGGTGGTTAGGAACCAGGAAGTGATTCCTGAGTGCCAATCTGCTGGCGAAAATGGGAATTTAACCCCAAGCTTTTACTGTGCAGCCAAGTGCATCCCTGTTGGAACCAATCTGATGATTAGGTTTGTGTAGCCGACCTGGAGTTTGCATGAATCCTACTTCATGTAAGGCATTTTAAATGCACGCTTAAAGGGATAGTTCACCTAAAAAATAAAATTCTGTCATCATTTACTCATCCTCATGTAGTTTAAAGCTTGTATGACTTGCTTTCTTCTGTGGAACACAAAAGAAAATATTCTGAAGAAATTCAATATTGTTTTGGACCCCATAGACTTTCATCGTGTGGACAAAAAAAGTCTTCCAAATATCTTCTTGTGTTCTGTAGAAGAAAGCAAGACATACATGTTTTAAACTACATGAGGGGTGATTAAATAAATGACAGAACATTCATTTTTGGGTGAACTATCTCTTTCAGTAAACGTTAAATCTCTAACTATTTCAGTTATGCATTATCATTCCGAGCCAAATCCTTATAACAGGATTTTTCAGTCATATAGGACAAGAGAGCAGCACACATACAGTCCAATCATTGTATTCAAGCCTAAAGTGCCGTTCCAGATGACTGCTCTGAAATTTCCTATTCACTGGGTGAGATTTTGCTATTCATTGTAGCCCCGCTGTGGTGGGCAACAATGAGGCAGAATGAGTCAGAGTATTAGATGGTCGCAGAGTCAAAGTCACAAGGCAAACGAGTCAGAGAATCGGCTATCCGCTGAATACAGCAATAAAAGACTGAGAAGCCACACTTCTCACATTGCAGCAAATCCCACTTACTGTATGTTTGAATATGTGGTGCCAGAGATGAACAGAAGAGAAAAGGGATTTTAAAAAAAACCTGCACAAGCATTTGACTAAACTAAACTACCCAGAACCCGTTTCATTTGGCGTTCACCCCATCAGAGTGCTAAAAAGCTTTCTCACCTGACCTTTCACAAAGTTGGTATGAGCCTTTCCTGTGGCACGTTTCCAGACCTGCAGGGCTCAGCTCTATACCAGATCTTCCACAATACAGAGAGAACCTCCGAGATAAACAGTATGATGCAATTTGACTGAATACCACTCCAAGTGATTCTCTGTGGCCATCAATGACCTTTGGATGAAAATGCAGAGTCCAGGACAAAAGGGAAGGATCTAGAATGGGAGTGCTTACACTGTTGTTTCTGCTCAGAGGGCAGCAGCAGGGAAGAGAAAGAGGGAAAGAGTGAATGAATAATGGTGCTGCTCAAATAATGTGAGGGCATGTCAGTTTTAGTCTGAGCTGTCTGAGTGTTTGACCAGAAAAACAAAAGTTTGCTTCATTTTATGCCAAAAATCCAACATAGATTCCTCTTAAGGTTGGATGGTATGACCGAAATCTGATATTAAACAAGTTTTACATCACGGCAATAGTCTCATGTTTTAGCTTTTTGTGCTAGAAATTCAACCCGGAAAATTAATTCATAAAATAACCATGTACAATATAGCCCATTGTGAGATACAAAGTTGCAATTACTATAAATATTTTGCAGTTGTGAGATTATTATTATTATGTGAAATAAAAAATAAAATACATTTGTCAAATTGTGAGATATAGTAAATTAACAATTACAATAAGTCACAATTATGAAATAAAATCATATTATAGACATATTTTAGTGATACAGTAACAAATAAGGAGAAATAGAGCCAATGTTGTAAGACACAGTCATTGCGATAAAGTCAGAATTGTAAAATAAAGTCATAATGTTGAATATAAAGTCAAAGTTATGAAAAATAAAGTAAAATTGTGAGATAGACATATTATAAAATGAATAAATGCTATTTTGAGATATAAAGTCAGAATTATGAGATGTTACAAAACCTTTTTGTACTTTTTTTACTCAGAGGTGGAAACAGGCATCCAAATCATCCAGTAATGTCTATTTGAGAATCTAGTAACATCAATATTTTAAAAACGAAAAGGACTTCATTTGAGGATGTTGCAAGCATCACCTTTTATAACAGAGTATAAAAATGTTCCCATTTATACTGTGGTAAACGGCATAGCAGAATCTCTACCAGCTGCTACCGATATACTGTATATAAAACAATGGGCTAATGTAGTAAACTGGATCCATGCAGATCTGAATCTCAGATGCCCGTCAATCACGTTCCCTTAACAGCGGACGCAATCCAGCTAGCGAGGGTTACATCAGATCTGACAGGTCGATTCACATTTGTTAGTTCTGCTGATCTCGAACTGATGCTGCGTCTCTGTAAACTGCTGTGTCTACAATTGATTTTGTCTGCCATAACGAAGAGAGGAAATATGAACTGGCGTGTCCATGATGACAGGCAGGAAACCTGAATCACTGTAAAAAGAGAGAGACGAATTCAAAACTCACTGTTATCCTTTCAGGAGAAGAGCAGTGGTGGAAACGCTTTAGCTCTCACTGGTGTCCACGAGGGTAGAAGGCGACACCCACAAAGAAGAAAGATATTTTCTGTTTAGATCCTGTGAGAGAGACAGAGGGGAAAAAAAGTAGCAGACATAAATATATTTGGATCTGGCTGTGTTGGAGATTTGTAGACTAATAACCGCTGGTTTGTAGGTGACTCATGTTGGCAGGAAATGTGAACCGGCCAGTGACCCGTGACAGAGGAAGATTCAGAACTCACCACTGCTCAAGAAAAAAATCCCTCTCATGCTCGTGCTTTAAAAACACTCTCTCATAAACACACACACGGCATAACTCTAAACAGGACCAGATGTTTCTGCTTGGGAGCTGAACTCCCATCTGCACGTGAAAAAGAGAAAAGCAACAGCAACTTTCCATTCATTAACCCGCTTCTGTCAAAAAAAATGGCAGGAAAATCATGGTGGCAATTTGTGTTTAATACACATAACGTACTGCAACTCTGCATTTATATATGCATCTATCTATCCATCCATTAACCACATGCGGTTCCTTCAATAGGGGAACATTCAACTTTAATAGAGGGTTCATATACAGCGGAGCAGCACTCAAATAGAAAATAGTGCAATTCGTGAGATTGCAAATCACAGATTCAATTAACCGGCTAAGGAATTCCATATTCCTGGATCTTTTAAAACCCCCGGTGAGTTGGGGGGCGACTGGCTGGATTTCCCGGAACACATTCGTGCAAGGCTATCACATTCTGACCGCAGTTAGCCCTGTGAACCGCTAGTGAGTTATCGCATGTGGCTCAGGCATTTAGCCCTCTCACCCTTCTCTTTCCATCACTTATGTCCCACCCGGGGGGTTGAGGGGTGAGGGAGGGGGGAGCAGTCATTGCTCACAAGCCTGAAACTTGTGTCTGAACACAACCATTTATAATACGCTACAGAGGACAGGGTGAACAAAACAAACCATGGCAAAATACACACAGATCTCTTGTCCAGAAAATATAAACATCAATATCAAGCTTTCTGTGCATATGTGGCACTGGAAATCTGTTTTTGGATGGACTTTTCTGATCCAGGGTTAGTTCACCCAAAACTGAAAATTCTGTCATTAATTATTAACCCTCATGTCATTCCAAACCCTTAAAGGGGTCGTTCACCCAAAAATGAAAATTGACAACAGAACCGGAAGACAATACAATGCTGAATAAAGTCGTAGTTTTTGTTATTTTTGGACCAAAATGTATTTTAGATGCTTCAAAACATTCTAACTAACCCACTGATGTCACATGGACTACTTTGATGATGTCTTTATATCCTTTCTGGACAAGGACAGTATACCGTACATACATTTTCAATGGAGGGACAGAAAACTCTCGGACTAAATCTAAAATATCTTAAACTGTGTTCCGAAGATGAACGGAGGTCTTACGGGCTTGGAACGACATGAGGGTGAGTCATTAATGACATCATTTTTGGGTGAACTAAACCTTTAAGACCTTCATCTTCGGAACACAAATGAAGATATTTTTGATGAAATCCGAGAGGTTTCTGAACCAGCCATTGGCACCAACGTTATTGCAATTTTCAAGGCCCAGAAAGGTAGTAAAGACATCGTTTTAAATAGTCTATGTGACTACAGTGGTTCAACCTTAATGTTATGAAGCGGCGAGAATACTTTTTGTGTGCAAAACCCGGCAAAAATAACGACTTTATTCAACAATCTCTTCTCTGTAAACAGTGCAGCGCTTCCTGGTTCTACGTCAAAAATAACGTCTAGGGTTAGGTTCTCGTGGTCTTCGCTGAGCATCTGTGCCGATGGTGGTCTAGAACAAATATTGTCTGACATGTAATCATACCCAGTGCTAAGGCTAAAAGTGAACCTCTATGGGTGCAGTGATACACACTGCATACATAGTAGCTACATAAATACATACGAACAGGCGTTTAGCATCATAGCTAGTATTGTATGTTTGAACATGGCTAGAACATTGTATTGACCAATCAGTGGTGTGAATTATAAGTGATGGGGAAGTTACAAGTCATTCATAATTACTACGGATATTTTTCAGCTTCTGTCAAAGCTAAAACTGGATTTACACACACACACACACACACACACTTACTGTATCCTGTGTTTACGCCTCACACTGTGGAGGGTACAACCGTAGTTTATTCTTGTTTGGCCCGGTGGATGTCATTGGCTCTGGGAATAAGCCAATCCATCAAACACAGTTCATTTGAAATGAAGCTAATGTAACTCTCCAAGCATGAAGTTACACTGCAATAAAATCAATACGGACTGTGGTTGGAGTGTTTTGAAATATGAACTCAAGGATAAAAAAAGACAACAATTTAGAATCTCTATAATGCCAGTACATCCCCTTTTGGCTAAATTACGCTTTTTATCTCAGTATTTGTGTGTGCGTTGTGATTTACTGGTTCGAGCATTCCCTCTCATGGACTAACTCTGGGTCAGTGATCTAATGGTCATGACAGTATCCGAGCTGTACTGCATCTTGAAAGAATCCAAGTCTATCAGATCCATCCAAAGTCTATTACTGTACGTATTTCTCAAGAGCTCTCTCTTTATTGTGACATTTACACCTGTTACAGCTAATGCAAAGGGGAGTCCTAAAGGGACAGTTCACTCAAAAATAATAATTCTACCATAATTTACTCCCCCTCATGTCTTTCTAAATATATATGACATTCTGCGTAAATAATAAGATTTCTAAATTTTTCGGTAAACTGGTACCTTTAAATTGCCTCTGGATCAGACTACTAATCCAGTAAATTGTGTGTTTGTAATAAAAATAAATCTCAGCTGAGTGTCAGCTGTTTACGTTCTACAGTGTGATTCGTGTCCTGAAAGTGGGCTGGTCTACACACACAGAGTTGCTGTTGTTGTTGTTGCAAATGCACAGAGACACTGCTGAATTAGGTTTAGGATTAGATGAAGGTTTGGGATCATATTCTAGGCAACATGAGATTTAGATGCACAGTTTAGGGTTGAGATTAGGTTATGATATTACTTACTACTGGAGATCTGTTTTCATTAGGTTTATGATTATTGGTTAAATTTAGGGTTGATGACATTGAGGATAGACTGTATGTACATAGGTGAAACTCTAAAAATTTAAATATCGTGCAAAAGTTCATTTATTTCAGTAATTCAACTTAAAAGGTGAAACTAATATATTATATAGACTCATTACATGCAAAGTGAGATATTTCAAGCCTTTATTTGTTATCATTTTGATGATTATGGCTTACAGCTATGAAAACCTTTTGGGGTTTTCATAAGCTGTTAAAATATATAAATAATATAGAAAACATTGCGTCTCCACTATAAACTCATCCCCATCATCACTTAGAGGGCTATAGGTTAAGTTTTAAAATGTACTGAACATTTGGGATTAGAGCCTTGAGCCGAAAACCATTGATTTGAATAAATCAAGCCTGGCTAAACATATGTAACCTCTAACTTGTGTGACATTTGGAAACACTTATTAAAATTATTTTCTCTTAAAGGAACAACATTATTGATATCAATGGTGCCAAATTACATAAATAATTACAATTTTTAGATTAACTGTTTTTTTAAAGAGAAATTTTGTGGTAAGGCTTTAGATGACTGAAAATATAGGGCAAATATAGTGCACAGGTTATGTGGACCACTTTTAATTTCCCTTTGACTTTCATTATATGGAAAATAGCCACCGTTACATTCTTCAACATGCCCCAAGGTAAATGAGAGAATCTTCATTTTTTGGGTGAACTGTTCCTTTAAACATAAAACACACACACACACACACACACACACACACACACACACACACACACACACACACACACACACACACACACACACACACACACACACACACACTGCTTTCTCTTTACTCCAACACAAAACCATTTTTACCACAGTGCATGTGTCCCACTTACATATATTTTTTCACTCTTTACTTAACCCAGCCCATCTCTTTTTTTCATTTCACCCCTCTGTTTGGTGATGAATTGTCCCTGGTCTCCAGGAATGGATCTGTTAATAATTCAGACCAGGCTCTGGCATTGACCATTAGAGCCGGGAGGCAGAACTTTCAGCTGATAGATCACTAATCAGATTAATCGCTGTCTTTCACTGGGGAAATGAAACGGAGTGAGGGTCCACGCCACGCATCGTAATATACTGGACCTTCTAGAACACTTCACCAGCAAATGCTTTCAATTACGGCAAGCAACCACCTACAGCTTTAGAGAACATTGCCCTTGATTGAGTATTCACGCAGCGATTCTAACATTAGCCGAACAGTGAAAATATTATCCTACTAGATGTGCGTTGCACAAAATAAGCTTGAGTAATTAGTACAACGATGGATTTGACTAATGCCTGTTCCAGACAAAAACATCGCTGCAGTTCAGATAAATTAGTCGGAACTCCATACAATACTAAACATGATCATTCGTTCATTCAACTCATGTCCAACAGCTGTAATTTGACTAACCGAAGTGTTTTTAGGCTCAAGTAAGTATGTATTTTTTCCAGCTGAGCTCAGGAACATGGGTCATTTATATCATAGTTTCTCATTTTACCTGAGCTTAACACTGATTTGCCTGCAGAATTATGTTTTTGTTTCCAGGGATCACGTACAGATGTTGCCAGCAGTAGCAGCTAATGACAAAGTCATGTGTTTGGTGGGGTGATATGTGTGTCCGACTGAGCTGATGCCAGGTGAATTACACAAATTAGAGTTCACCATGGAGTGGAAATACTGATTAGTCACAGTCTGCTGTGAGTCTCCAACACATGCACTGATAATAGATTATACAAAGATCTAGCAAGGCCTAAAGGCATAGTTCAACCAAAAAGTGCAAATTCTGTCATTATTTACTCACCCTCTTCCAAAGAAGACAACAACAAAAATTAGTCCATATGTCTCATATCTATTCCAAGTCTTCTGAAAGCATAAAAGTATATTTTCATTAATATTTACTTTAATATACAGTAATACTGTTCAGGCACAATGAAGTTCATCCAACTCTACAACTTTGCTCCCATTCTGTCCTCTCTTTCTCTCTCTGTC